CTTTAAGCACAGCCCTCGGCTAGCCTGAGGCAGCAGCTCCACGCTCTTAAGTCCTAACCTGATGCCCTGCTGGCACTGGTTCCGGCCATCCTTAACCTCGGTTCAGGGTCCACTCCATGTGGACATGCTAGTTCGAATTAGCAAAATGCTAATTCGAACTAGTTCTTATTTCTAGATGCACTAGTTCGAATTAGCTTAGTTCAAATTAACTAATTCGAATTAAGTTAGTTCAAATTAGTGCTGTAGTGTAGACATACCCACAGTGTCTGTATAGCCTGGTGGTTAGGGCAAGAGGAGGGGATGTGAGGGCCCCAGCTGCAAATCTATGCTCTGCTTGATTCAGAGCAGTGTTTTTCATCCCAGATCACTCTGAATACAGTAAGGCAGGGACTTGCAGCTAGGTTTCCCGCATCTCCCAGTGCCAACCAGGCTATGGAGTGTGAGAGAATGTCTCTCCACCAAAAACCTTCCTGATGAAAAGCCCATCAAAGCCTACACATCTCTGAAAAACACACCAGCTTCAACAGCAAGTAATTTGGATGAAAATGTTCCAACCAGCTCTGCTTCAGGCTTATTACTCCTTACTGCAAAGGGCATTCATGTAGTACTTAACCTTCACTGTGCCTACACATAGAATCTGCTCACACTTATGTCCAAGGTTACACCTCGTGCTGCACACTGCATTAGTGCTTCCAGCAACAGGGTCTTTGGAAATATTAACAGCTTTTAACATGCTGTAATGCAAGGTCACGCATGCTGCATTACTAATGGGACAGAGAGAAGGGTTGCTGTTTGCTGGACATCACATACCTATGTCCAGTCAAGGACTGGCTAGCTGAACAATGATATCTGTCCACAAAGTAGGACCATGTCTTCTCTTCAGTGCTGCCGCAATTCATCTTCCAGGCTACGTCTACACTGGCATGATTTTCTGGAAATGCTTTTAACGGAAAAGTTTTCCGTTAAAAGCATTTTCGGAAAATTGCATCTAAATTGGCAGGATGCTTTTCCGCAAAAGCACTTTTTGCGGAAAAGCGTCTGTGGCCAATCTAGACGCGCTTTTCCACAAAAACGCCCCCATCGCCATTTTCGCAGTCGGGGCTTTTTTGCGGAAAAGAAATCTCTGCTGTCTACACTGGCCCTTTTGCACAAAAGTCTTTCGAAAAAAGACTTTTGCCCGAACGGGAGCAGCATAGTATTTCCACAAAAGCACTGACAATCTTACATGAGATCATCAGTGCTTTTGCGGAAATTCAAGCGGCCAGTGTAGATAGCTGGCAAGTTTCCGCAAAAGCAGATGATTTTGCGGAAAAACTTGCCAGTCTAGACACAGCCATAAAGTGTCCCTGTCTGGCAGTCAGTACTCCTGCTCCTGAGAGGAGTAAGGGAAGCTGACAGGAGCAGCAGTGTTCAGCCTCCTGCTATGGGGATGGCAAGGAAATTCAAATTAAGGTACATAATTAACATAGCTGGAGTTGTTTATCTTAATTTGATCTTCTCTTTAGTGTAGACCTGGTCTAAGATGTACCAAAGTTCTATCCAATGTAGGCCTTTAACTTCTAGCAGGGAGCTACATCTTGTATACATCTCCTAACCACCTAATTCTGTGGTAACATTAGGGTGTCCCTCTTCTTAAACAAATTCCAAATCACTCCTCACAGCTCTATGGTTTATCATGAATGTTTCATCCTTCCTATTTCTCATATACAATGTTGTTTGTTTAAACAGGCTTCTACATAAGGTTCTTATTCTTGTACATGTCTAAGAACAAAAGTGCCCATGGTATAAATTCACTCAAACACTATGTGCATTTTCTTAAATGCTGGGGTATTCAGGTGTCTGATAGGAATAAGCCAGAACTAAAACATCAGATCCAAATGTTCCTTTAGAGAAATTTATGCTGCAGCCGCATTTAGCAGCATGAGCTCTGTATGGGTATGTCTACACTAGCCCCCTAGTTCGAACTAGGGAGGCTAATGTAGGCATTCGAAGTTGCAAATGAAGCCTGGGATTTAAATATCCAGGGCTTTATTTGCATCTTCCCATCTGGGTGCCATTTTTAAATCCCCTTAGTCTGAACTAACTGCCCACGGCTACACA